AATGGCATATTTGTTTCTGTCACACAATTGTGCTTTTTCATGTTTTGAGGTTATGTATTTTAATTAATATAATAAACTTACAAGGAGGTCTTTGCTTCCCCCTACCCTTCCTTCCGCTCCTTTGGGTTTTTTTCTTTTCTTTCCATTGCAGACCATATTCTTTTCTTCTTGCTTTTTCAATGCCTGGTTTCCTTTAGCCTGATTACTCCATTGCTCTCCTTTCCTCCATATTTTGTTCCTTCCCTCTGCTCAAAGCTCATATGGGCACTCAGATGTAGACAGTCATTGCATTCACTCACCCCCCACAGGTGCCCCCAATTGCTTAGCGTAACCCACTTAAACAGACTACCCAGTTCCTCTCTTTCCGGGCTTTATCAGACAAATTTACTCACTAAAAAGCATCCTCAGGTTCACTAGTCTCTTGCTAGCTCTTTCTGAGATTTTCTATTATATGTTACACTAATGACAGCTGCAACTTACAACAGAGTTCAAAGCTTCTACAAAAGAGCAAGGGGCCCCTAAAATACCATGCACATTTTTTAAAGAGTAAAATTTTCCATTTATCCACTGAACCCCTTGCTTTCCTGAAAAGTGGTGTTAAAGCAATGATTTCAGCCCTGCCTTAAATACAGTAAGAAGTAAACAGCTAAGTATTAAACAAGAGACTGCTACTCTGACATTTTAGTGTTTTTCTGATAATTTCCAATATTGGTTTCAATGTATTTGAAGTGTGCAGGGATGGGTTATTTTACACTCCATGTGCTGTATTAAACTAAACTATTGTGTTTAGTTGTCTTTTTGGACCTTGGTTCTGGTGTATGCATACTTAGAGGCTGGGTTTTCCAAAGTTGTCACAAGGACCCTGATCCAGAAACATGTCAACAAATGCTCAACATTGAAGGTTGGATTTATTGTCATTTAGTTCAATGGGATTATTCACATACTTAAAATTAAGTGGTTGCATGGTCAGCACCCATGTTTATCAGACTGCATATAGTAGTATTGTGCCCTGCCCTATGCAATATTGGACTGATACATTTTTGCCAAGTCCTAACACTCAGTATTTCAGGCCCATCTTTGCATGTTCAAATACTATCAGTACATACAAATCTAAACTTTTGGGTACACTTAAGCTTTGTCATTAAAAATTTGTCATTAAAAATTGACAGTTTTATAGCCTGGAAAGGTAACCTGAAATTTTGCAAAAGGGGAAGTCATTTTCCTTTTTTGATCTGTTGTTTTTCTGACAAAGTTATCTCAACTTATTTATTTAGGGAGAGTGAGTCTCATAAATATCCTCAGTTTCTCCTCCTAGAAACATTAATTTACTTAATTTATCTTAAATTTGATTGCAGTGAGCACCCCTAATTAACCTGATTTTTTGCTGATAATCACTCACAATGGAATCAAATCAAAAATCCGGGGATGGATTGACCGGCACACAGAAAGAAGCTGCTCTCCGTGCATTAATTCAGCGCACAGGATATAGTTTGATCCAGGTAGGAACTTGTGGTCACATGCTTGAGTGCTACTTTTTGCATAGCATTTAATTTTAGCTTTGATTAAGTAGTTTTATCAAGGGCTTTTGAGTGGCAAATATTTAACAAGGAAACTTTCCTTCTTTGTTGGTTCTCTTCCCTTCTATGTTAAGTATGTATGAAAGATGCTTAATTTCAATAAGTAGGACTGAATTCTTTCAATAAGTTTTGTTTAAACATCATAGCTAATTAGATAAGCCAACTAAAACCCCAGAACTGGATATTCCTGAATATCACGGAAGTTTTCAATTGCAATTTGAACTTTCCGCTGCATTTTATCTTTGTAATATCCCAAAATAAACTCACTATCACCATATCCACACTTGGGGGAAAGGGGGGAGGACGGACGACTAAAATGGCATAGATGAGGAGATGTAGCTATACTGAACTAACCTCTATCCCATAGAAATTGAATTAGTTTTTCCATTGCTGTAGGAACACCACCTCCCAAAAGCAACAGTAGAGGTGGCAACAGAAGTATGCTTCCATTAACCTAGCTGCAGTTACACTATGGGTTAGGTCGTCATAGCTACAGCACTCGGAAGTGTAAATTTTTCACACCACGAGCCATGTTGCTTCCTGAACCTCACATGTCAATCAGAAGTCCTTTGTTCTTTAAAAAAAAGTGTAAATTTTTCACACCACGAGCCACGTTGCTTCCTGAACCTCACACGTCAATCAGAAGTCCTTTGTACTTTAAAAATGTCTTCAGAACTGGGTCTGAATTTGACATCCTAGAATCATTTTAAGTCTTTATAGGTTAAATATTTCATATATCTGAAATAGAAAAGAGATTATTTATCAGCCTTAATAATCAAGGTTTATTAAAAGTTCATTTGAGAAGATCTCAAAATGTGAGACATTTCTGTTTATTTTTACTAAATTTGTAGCAGACACAGGAGCCCTTCAAAAGTCAAACTATTCAGCTGAATTTTGGAATCTTGCCAAAACAAAAAGCCTCAACCTAGTTCATTTTAAAATGCAACGCTATGAAATATTCTGGTAAACATTAAAGGAACAGAATTGCAAATGGTAAGGAGAGTTTTTATGACGTTTACTCGGGCTCAGATCTTGTCAGTTGTTAGGAACAGAAGTATGGTTAACAACACAGTCATCCAAAAAAGCAGTTTTGGACTAAAAGGAACCTGGAACTACCATATCTAGAGGACAGGCAATTAAAATAAAATAAAAGTGTGTTTAGCATAGCATATAAAACTGTGTGCAGACACTAGGGCTACGTCTACACTGCAGGCTTCTTGCATAAGAACGGTTTTATACAAGAGTTCTTGTGCAAAAGGTCTTCCACAAGAGTGCATCCACACTGCCATGTGCTTTTGTGCAAGAGCGTCCATGGCAGTGTGGACGCTATCTTGCGCGAGAAAGCTCTGAGGGTCATTTTAGCCATAGGGGTTTCTTGCACAAGAAAATCATGTTGCCTGTCTACACTGCCTTCTTGTGGAAGAGCTCTTGCGCAAGAGAGCTTATTCCTCATGGGGAGAGGAATAACTCTCCTGGAACAAGCCCTTTTTCTGATGCTGTACTGTAAATGTACTTGCACAAGAACATGTGTGCAGTGTAGACACCCGGCAAGTTTTTGCGCAAGAATACCTGTTCTTGCGCAAAAAGCATGCAGAGCAGACGTAGCCTAAAGGTAAGCAAACATTTGGGTTTGCTGCATTTTAACATTGTGTACAGTAGAGTAGATAACAAAGAAAGATAAAAATAACAAGCCTGCTGCATTCATATTCTGTTTTACATTCTTTATCCCAATATTCTTTTCTCCCTTCATCTCTGCTTTTTGATATTTGATTTTGCTTCATCTCTTCTTCCTTCCTTGCTTCCCAGGTTCCTTGTCCCTCCCTGCCTTTTTCAGAGTTCATCCTATTTCCTCGTTCATCCCATTCCTTTCCTCACATTCTCTGAGATTTCATGTCAAACTCATCACCACAGTACACAAGTATCTGTACTCTTAGCTTATCCCTTATTCCACCCTCACTCTTCCTAAGGCCCACACACTCAACTGCAAAAACAGGAGGGGACTTAAGAAAACAGGTCTTTCTCCTTCCACCTAATCTTTAGAGAGCCAAGAGTTGGGTTGGAGTACTGTCTCCTTCTTTCAATCTGTGTCTATACTACAAGCCTCTTCAGCAAGAGGAAATGCAAATTGAGCACTCATTTGCATATGTCATGCTCTCATTTGCATTTCCTCTTCGGATCCTTTTTGCCCAAGAGGCTTTTGCGCAAAAATGAACTGCCTTTTTGCCCAAGAGGCTTTTGCACAAAAATGAACTATGTAGACAGCGCTTTTTTGTGCATAAGCCCCCTTTTGCACAAGAGCCGTTTTTCCTCAAAAAGTAAGGAAGAACAGCTCTTGCACAAAAGGGGGTTTTTGCACAAAAAGGAGCCATCTACACAGTTCTTTTTTGCACAAAAGCCTCTTGCACAAAAGGGATCCAAAGAGGAAATGCAAATGAGAGCATGACAAATACAAATGAGCGCTCCATTTGCATTGCCTCTTGCGGAAGAGGCTTATAGTATAGACGCAGCCCATGAGATGAAGACTTTGCTGACTGAAGTAGTTTTTTCTGATGAGTCATCCCATTTACTTACAAATACATTAACTCATTGAACTAGTTAAAATAAAAGATTTTATTTTTCCAGTACTTTGTTTTGCACTGGCATGGTAAACCTTCTCAAGCCTCTCTCACCTAAATCTACTTTGCATCAGGTTTGTTTGTTTGATTCAAACTCCTTTTACTTAGCTATATGAAGGTACTACATACTAATCACAGTGAAGAATGACAATATTGAACAGATTTATCACACAGTGGCTATACAAAATGTATCAATAGATGTTCATACAACTCGTGTCAGAGAGTGTAACCTTTCCTGCAAGTGTAACTGCCACCAGACAAATCTGAACCTGGGACCTCTGGAGCATAGTATAGGAGTCTCTACCCTTTGAGCTAAAAACCAGGCTGCTCTCAGCCCATGCAGTAGAGGTCTCTTGTTCTTATCTGTTACTGTGGTCTAGGGGCCACTACATGGGATGGTGAACCACACTAGGGCTACATCTACACTGCAGAGTTTTTGCACAAAACTCGGAGTCACCACAGTACAAGAGATCTTGTGCAAAAAGGCATGTGTGTGCCTATTGGTAAAAGCACAGGTGCTCTGATGGTAAAAGCACAGGTGCTCTGATGGCCATTCTGTAAATGCCAATCAGAGTTTTCTTGCACAAGAGCATCCAAGGCAGTGTGGACGCTTTTGCACAAAAGCACATGGCAGGCTGAACGCTCTCTTGCTCAAGAATTTTTTGCGAAAGGTCTCTTCCGCAAAAAATTATTGTGCAAGAAGCCTGCAGTGTAGACGTAGCCCCCATGAGTGGGTTACACGGGCATCACTCAGCTGAATTATACCTTCAGGGACAGAGAAGTGGCATTTAATGTTGCCAGCTTCAATGTTTTCAAGTTTTGATTCTACAGGAATTCACTCCTGCATGAAGTATTGCTATGTTTCTCCCATTATGATGAAAATGTTTATGATATGAGTAATATTGGATAACTTACTACTACATCTGTCAAAATGATAATTCATAGACAGTAGGCTGGAAGAGACTTCTTGATCCATCTTCGCTTATATACCTAATGAGTTTTCCCCACTATATGCTATTCAATTTCATGTTGTTGGATTTCCTTCCTATGAAAGGAGCTTGCAATGGTTTTCTCTTTAGGGTTGAAATGACTTCAGGGAACATGACTATAGAATTTGGGCTTATCTACGCAGCTAATTATGGTATAAATATACAGTACACTGGCTTGTCATGCAGGAACTCATTGTGTTGACAGTGCTGTAGTCAAGTGAAAGTCCCATCCTCTCCTCTTCCAAATACCTCCTGAAAACCTAATTCTTCCAGGAACACATGTGTAAGCTCATCTCTGCTTTATTCTGTACAGTAAGGAGTTCACAATTAACTACCAAAATCCAGTACAAATGTAATCATTAATAAATGTTTGCGCTGTAGGCAGATTGTGAAAATTTGTACTTTTGATGAAAGCACAACTAGGTTAGAACCAAAACTAACATATTATTTGCTGTGTGCACCTGACATGTCAGGTTTAGAAAAGCTGCTTGATGTTGACTTTAAGACAACTCAAACATTTGAAAAAGTGTTGCCTGAAATAACTGAGGTCAAGACACTCATCTCTCCAATACTCTACTATATGTTGCTTGTGACTTTCAGAGAAATTGTCTACAGTAGAAACTGGTCCTCACTCCAGCACATCAGGAAACTGCCATTAGATGTGGCAGAAGGAATACGATGGCCTTGATTGCACTAATCAGTGCCATCGATCTATTTCAGCTATACAAATAGCATAGCCTAAATCGACATACTCACCTCAGCATCCTGCCCGCAGTAAGGTCAGCAGAGGCTACTCTCTCGTTGATGCCAGCCATTCTTCTCACCTTGGTGGAGTGCCAGCATTGACGGGAGTGTGCTCGGAGATCAATTTATCACATCTAAGCAGACAATAAATCAGCAGATGGTTAATGATCGCTGCAGCGGCACTCCACCATGTACTCTAGATAAGGCATTAGGAGCTGATCATGTTCTTTTTTAAATCAGTGGGAGATTTTTTTTTATTGACTGCAATGGAGCTGGATTAGGACACATGGTTGCTTTCTGAAGCTCATAAAGTGGTGTTTCTTGAACTTTTTAAGACCGAGGAACATCAAACAATTTTTTTATGAGGAACACCAAGGATATTTTGTTGAGCAAAAAGGATTTTTTGTTGTTTTAGACTATGGCAGACTGGCATTCTTGTCCAATACATTGTTATATTAAACACTACCATAGCAGAAAGCTAGTATTTGACTAGGGCCTATCCACATAGTTTAAAACTTTAACAAAAGCAAGGTAGGTAATATAGCAAATATTGAGTGACTTCATAGGACACTGAATTAGGTCTCAATGGGGGAGAGCTTCACAGAGACATGGTTTCAGATGGAAAGAGCTGAAAAGGATATTACTGAATCAGGATATTATGAAAGGACAGAGAGGACACTAGTGTGAGTAGAGCAGTCAAGCTGGGAAAGGATAGGAAAGAAAGGCCCAGTTATAGAGATAAGTCTATACAAAAGTTAGAGCAACTAGCAAGTCAATTTTGAGAGATGTCTGTCCATTTATTTGAAAATACATGGTTTTTTTCTTTGCTACAGGAAAATGGACAAAGAAAGTATGGAGGTCCACCACCCAGTTGGGACGCCCCACCACCAGAGAGGGGTTGTGAGATTTTCATTGGGAAATTACCCCGAGACCTTTTTGAAGATGAACTTATCCCATTATGTGAAAAAGTAATGTTTTATATTGAAGAGATTTCCCTCCTCGTGCGCCATACGACATGTTCCTCCTAAAACGAAAAAAAGCTGCCTTTCCAATGGCCTCATACATGACCTAACAAATAGAAAATTGAAATGCATATAAAACTCTAATACAAACTTTAGCAACTATTCTTTTGTGTGGGGACATTCTTAGATGTACTTCTGTGATGAATGAGGCTACTGTATCATTTGCTCCGGTTACCTAAACGTGTTCCAAGTTCTACTTTCTGTTGCAAGGCTCAGCTATTCTGAGTCTCACTTTCTGTTACAGGGCTCAGCTGTATGCCTATACTGGTCTGGAACTCTGAGAATGTGAGGGTATAATGCAGAAATACTGAGCAGAGGTGCTCTGAGGCTTGCTGCCTGCACACTGTGCCAATACAAGCAAAATGCATCCAGGAGCATTGGGCAGAGAAAGCATGTAATCATAGAATCAAAGAACTGGAAGGTACCTCAAAAGGTCATTAAGTCCAGTCTCCTGCCCCCATGGCAGGACTAAGCACTGTCTAGGTCTTACCTGACTGGTGTCTGTCTAACCTGCTCTTAAATATCTTCAGCGATAGAGATTCCACAATCCCCCTAGGCAATTTATTCCAGAGTTTAACCACCCTGACAGTTAGGGTTGCCAGATGGTCTCCCAAAAAAATACTGGATACACGGGCTAAAAATTTGTTGAGCAAAAACAACCAAAAAACACTGCCACGACCACACATGCTATGTTTAATACTTAACTTTATAATAAAAAGTCTTCATCCTGCACCATCTCTATGTAAAGAGGCTCAGCATGCACATTTGCACAATTACTTCTATTTTTATTGTTTTCTATTCCTCTAAAGCTAAGGCTATAGAAGAATTTAGAAGAACTCCTTTTTATCCTGCAGCTGAAATGATTGTAGAGAACTCCCAGCATCGATCGTGTCCCGCCTCCCAGCCACTTCCCTGCCCCCGGTAGGCTTCTGATGTGCCCTGAATGGCGATCATGGCCCTGCGTACCAGCTGGGACTCCCAGGCTGGGAGGCGGGGCCACGATCAGCACTGGGAACCTGTGATTTCGCAGAACC